ATATATACACAGAGAGAGACAGAAAGAGAGAGAGAGAGAGAGAGGGGCAAAAGATAATATATCAAGATATTTTGACCAAATAAGATGCAATAGAAGCAAAGATAATATTATCTTGAAAATGAAGACACGAATGCAAGGCAAAAATGCTACAATCGAAAAATATTAAATGAAAATTAAGGAAAGAAGATGAAAAAAAAAATGAGGCATATCATAGATCAATCAAAAAGGTAAAGCAAAGTAAGCTTTGGCAAAGATGCAAAAGGTTAAAATCTTAGGTTCAAATGAGAAGTTTAGATTTGGAGGGTCATGAGAGGTCATACAAAGATTTGGTAACCATTTTTCTTTCAAATGATTGAAGAATAAGTATTTTTTCATAAACATTCGAGTAAGAAGTAGACATTCAAGAATATGCTAACCATAGAAAAATCAAATTTAAAAGTTATATAATGAAATCATGTGAGAAAGTGGTGAAATGTTGACTTAAAAAATTATTACTTTCAAGGTATCAATTTGATTTCATGCCAAGAAGATTTAAATAGAAAAAAAATTTTGTATTAATGAGAAGCATAAAGAACAGGGAAACAATTTTCATTGATTGTAATCAAGTTAGAGAAGATATATGAACGAGTATCATAAAAAAAATTTTGGTACATATTTAGAGAAGATATATGAACGAGTATCATAAAAAAAATTTGTACATATTTAAAAAAAAAAGATCAGTGTCAAAATGAATAACCTCCTCACTTAACCCCTACCAAAGAAAAAAGGAGTGGGGATAAAGGAGTAAACTAGTGAAAGTTAGGTTTGCATGCAAAGTTATTTGTATCGTAAAGTAGACTTCTAAAATTTAAAAAAAAAAAATCAAGAAGATATGCAAGAAATAATAAAAAAAGTGTGGTAATTTTTTTATATGTATCCATGTGATAAAAAAGAAGCACATTGGTCACCTCAATCCAAACTGTCAAAAATCAAAGCCTATCAGACTAAAACAATGCTTCTTTACACAATCATACAATTAAACAATCAAGATGACAACTCCAACATAATATATTCTAAATAAATGCCACGGTACATAACCTGTTGAGGGTATTGTCCATATCCTCCATATGCACCATATGCATAGGCGGATGGATCTTGAGTTGCCCCATAAGCATAAGCATCGTAGCCATAGCCATAGTATGCATTGGCCCATTGTGTAGGGTCTGCTTGCGGGAGCCAAGCACCAGATGCATCCTGCCAAAAAGAAAATGAAACAAAAGATTATTAAAGCAAAGCATTGCAACTCTAATCAATTGAAATAAGACTTGATAACATTACACGTAATTCAAATAGTTATTCAAGGATTGGACAAGCTATAGGAATATATTTAATCAAGTGATTCTTTTGGCCTTCCTTCTTCATGATGATCAATTAATATAAATGTGGTTAGTGCCATGTTACATAACATGGATCTGTAAAATCAACTTTGACAAGAAATCGATAAAGTATTGTAATGTATAGTTGAAGAAGCATTATTATTAAAGGTAACTTAAATATATATTTTTTGCTACTAGTAGCATGGGTATTAGTGCTACCCTAAAGATGCACGTAGATCAAAGAACCCAGTAGCATGGGTCATGATGAAATTCATGGTGGATATGAAATTAGGTATATTATAGTAATGAAGGGATTATGCTTAAGTTTGCATTAACATAAGATGCTGAAATAAAAAAGATATACTTAGCGGAGGAGCTAGGTTTATTTTTTATGGTGATCTGGAAAATTTTAGCCATAAAACATAGAGAGAGAATTAGAGATGTATATCTCAGAAGTAAAAGTGAACTATCAGAATAATATATTTAATAGGGTAAGGTGTAGAAAGCAAAATAAGTGAAATTATTAATTTTTTAAGATAGTTTGTTAAGATACAAACGTTTGAAACTATATCCAAATTAATTTAATGTTGCATAGGTTGACTTTGCATAGATAAAGTACCATTGTATTTTGAGTCTAGAAATAGGTCATACATATGCAAGTTGGCCATAGAGTAAGGAGGTACAAAACAACAACAACAAAAATAAGCTTTTATCCCACTAAATGGGGTCGGCTACATGAATCATTTTTCTCCATTGCATCCTACTGAGTATCATATTTTCATTTAATTCTAATAAATTAAGATATTTTATTATACAATATGCCCAAGTCTTTCTAGGTCTACCTCTGCCTATCTTCACATAATTTGAATCTAAAACATCTACTCACATCTCTTAACTGGATTATCAGATGGTCGGCATTTAATGTGACCAAACCATCTAAGACAAGTCTCTCTAATTTTATCTGCCACTAGAGCTACACCAACTCTATCACAAATATATTCATTTCGCACTTTGTCTCTAAGTGTCATGCCACTCATCCACCTAAGCATTTTCATCCCGACAACACTTAACTTTGTTTTATGCTTCCCTTTTAAAGGTCAACATTCTGCGCCATAGAGCATTGCAGGTTTCACCACCATCTTATAAAATTTAACTTTCAGCCTAAGCGGGACTTTTCTATCACACAAAAGCCCGATGAATTCCTCCACTTCAACCAACCAATTAGAATTCTACAAATAACATCCCCGTCCATATCACCATGACATTGAATAATAGTCCCGATATAGCTTAAAAGTTCACACATTTTAATAATTTGATCACCCATAGATATAACTTTGTCACTAGAGCTACTACTACTAAATTACATTCCATTTCTTCAGTTTTAGTTCTACTCAAACGAAGGTCTTTAGCCTCCAATGTAGTCCTCCATAATTCTTTTTCTCCATCGCGTCCTACTGAGTGTCATATTTTCATTTAATTCTAATAAAGTAAGAACTTTTATTATATAATATGCCCAAGTCTTTCTAGGTCTACCTCTGCCTATCTTAATATAATTTGAATCTAAAACATTTACTCCCATAATCAGATCATCAGATGGTCGGCATTTAATGTGACCAAACCAACTAAGACAACTCTCTCTAATTTTATTCACCACTAGAGCTACACCAACTCTATCACGGATATATTCATTTCGCACTTTGTCTTTAAGTGCCATGTCACTCATCTACCTAAGCATTTTCATTCCGGCAGCAGTTAACTTTGTTTATGCTTCTCTTTTTAAGGTCAACATTCTGCGCCATAGAGCATTGCAGGTTTCACCACCATCTTATGAATTTTACCTTTTAGCCTAAGCGGGACTTTTCTATCACACAAAAAGCCCGATGAATTTCTCCACTTCAACCAACCAATTTGAATTCTACAAAAAACATCCCCATCCATATCACCATCACATTGAATAATAGTCCCGATATATCTTAAAAGTTCACACATTTTAATGATTTGATCACCCATAGATATAACTCTGCCGCTAGAGCTACTATCATTAAATTGAATTCCATTTATTTAGTTTTAGTTCTACTTAAACAAAGGCCTTTAGTCTCCAATGTAGTCCTCCATAATTCAAGTTTTTCCTGAACTCTTTCTCTAGTCTTATCCACAAGAAATATGTCATCAGCGAAAAGCATACACCAAGGTGCATCCTATTGTAAATGTCCAGAAAAAGCATCCATAACTAAAGCAAAAAGATATTGGCTTAATTTAATCCTTAATGTAATCTAACAGAAATAGGAAAATATTGGGTTAATCCTCCTCCTGTTCGAACACAAGTAACAACTCTATACTAATCTTTAATGACTTGAATATAAGTCATATCAACACATTTTTTCTCTAGAACTCTCCAAAGCAGAAACCTTATCGTAAGTTTTTTTCTAAATCAATAAAAATCATACGTAGTTCCTCCTTATTCTCCATGTACTTCTCCATCAAAACTCTCAATAAATGTATAGCATCCATAATAGACCTGCTCGGCATAAATCCAAATTGATTATGAAAAATCTTTGTAATACGTCTTAACCTATGTTCAACTACTCTCTCCCAATTTAAAGTGTGACACATTAACTTAATTCCTCTATAATTTGCACACTCTTGAGCATCCCCTTTATTCTTAAAAATGGGATCAAAATACTTTTGCTCAACTCCTCAGACATCTTTTTTTATTTTTAAAATAATATTAAAGAGTTTAGTATGCAAAGAAACTCTCAAATCTACTAAATACTTACACAATTCAATTGGGATATCATCAGGTCCTACTTTTTTTCCACCCTTGGTTATCTTTAAAGCCTACTCAACTTCCTTTTTACTAATGTGATCATAAAAATAAAATATTTTATTATTATTAACTATATCAAGACCACTAAGGTCGATCGTATTTTCAGAAACTTTATTAAAAATTTTATCAAAATAGCTCACCCACCATGTTGAATATCTTTTTTAAAAAAAAAAACACTTTTTTTATTTTCATCTTTAATATACTTGAGTTAAATCTTTAATTTTTTTCCTCTTTATTTGATTAGTTTATACATATAGTTTTCCCCATCTTTAGCATCTAATTTATTATAAAGATCACTGAAAGCTGAATTTTTAGCATCACAGATGAATGATTCTCTTAGACTCCCCTACGAGCCACCTTATATTTTTTCTCAGTTTTCTAAGATTTTACATTTGAACCAATTTTTATAAAACAACTTCTTAAATTTTAATTTTTCTTGCACAATATTATTCCACCACCGATTATTTTTTATTTATAGAATTTTTTCCTTTTAATTCCCCAAGTATATCTTTTGTCACTTGTTTGATAGTGTTTGTTAATATGTCTCGCATAGAATTTGGTTTTTGATGAACATCCTAAATCTTGAAATATTGAAGTTTACTCAAAAAAATAATTGTATGTGTCTTTTAAGTGCCGCTATCTAATTCTATAATAATGATTCCTAAAATTATTTATCTTACAACTCATCATCTTACAATCCAGAGCTAATAATCGATGTTGAGCACTTAATTCTCACTAAAAATGACCTTAAAATCTTTAAATTCTCGACGATCTCTTCTTCTCATAAGAAAAAATCAAGGTATTTTATTAGATTCATTCTTATAAGTAATAATATGTTCATCTCTTTTAATAAATAAAGTATTAGCAATAACAAAGTTATATGCTAAAACAAAATCTAATATGGCTCTACTTTCTTCACTAATCACTCCAAAACCATAGCCTCCATGAATATTTCTAAAATCTTCTACCTTTCTACCAACATATCCATTTAAATCTCCTCCAATAATTTTTTTTCTTCTTTAGATAAAATTTGTATTAATTCTTCTAGGTCATTCTAAATTTTTTCTTTAAAACTTGTATTTAAACCAACGTGAGGAGCATAAACACTTATAATATTAAAAATTTTATTACCAGAGCATAAGCACTTATAATATTAAAAATTTTATTACTAACAAGAATCTTAAGGGCTATAATTCTATCTTCAATTCTATTAATTTTTACAACATTTTCTTTCAATCCCTTATCTATAATTACACCTACACCATTTCTAGTGCGACTTCTAGTGTGACTCTTACCTGAATACCAAAATTTAAAACCTAAGCTATCAATCTCCTTAGTCTTTTCTCCAACCAATTTAGTTTCTTGAATACATGAGATATTCATCTTTCTATGAACTATAATATCAACTAATCCTATTAATTTACTTGTGAGAGTACCTATATTCTAATATTAGTTTCATTGACTAACTTATTTACCTGCATCCGTCTATAATGTGAGAACCCTTGTTTATTTGACATTACACTCGAGCATCGAAGTAGCGACCCTTCATTTTCACTGTATTTTGGTCATACTGTGTGTCGCTTCCAAGGACGCCCTAACATTTACACAATAATCTAAAAGATTCATGCATGATTTTTTCGACAAAATTTTATGATAGTTATCGACTACCTAATGCAACCCTCCACTTTTCACATATGTGGCTTTGAACCAAGTAATGGCAGTATTAAGGAGGTACACAAAAAATATTAAAACAAAATAAATTCTTTTAAAAATGAAATAAAATAAGTATTAGAATGACTTGATATAGATATAGGAAAATTGTAAATTCTAAAATAAAGTTAAAAAAGTCTAGCCCAAAAATACATTTGATAATCTAGAAACTTCGACCAAATTAAAAGTATGAAAGGAGAGATGATATTACAATAGTTAAAATTTAAGACATCAATGAATGATGGAAGTATTGTTTATAGAATTATTAATGAGAGTTATAAGAAAAATATCTTTTCAAATTAGCAACATGTAGGTTTAATTTAAATCAATCTTAGAACGTG